TTTGGATAGAGATCTCTACAAGAGCCTTACCTATATCAAGGTAAGTGAGTATTGCCAGTTGTCGTGGATGTGCGTCATATGGGCGAAGGCGATTACCCATTGCCCTCTTTCCACCCGCATAGCACTATGAGGGAGATGTGTCAGATCTGGAGCTGACATTCTCATACGACGAAGACTGTCTTGGGCAGATTGTTGTACACGACTTGGTCCCTGGTGGGCGTTATATCACCGTCAACAATGACCTTAAGTAAGCTGGCAATGCAAATATGTAGTGTTGAAGGTGTGGTCACGGCATCATAACACTTCCTCGTTCGTTAAACTAAACATACTTTCACTTGCTCACTTGCAGAATCAGTTATGTGCATCGAATGGCAATGTTTCGAATGTACAAGCAAATTCGAGGCCAGACAGCCAGCTTTATTCGAGGCTTCTACTCCATTATTAATCCCGACTGGTTGGCAATGTTCTCTCCCACGGAGTTACAACAACTTATCTCGGGAGATTCGGTCAACTTTGATTTGGAGGATTTAAAGTGAGTTTGTGCACGTTAGACTCATTTGAGGCGTGGGATACCCTTCCAATGTACAGTGTTTTTGTTTCTTTGATAGGCAACACACGAAGTACTCAGGTGGTTTTTACAGCAACCATCGGGTCATAACATGGCTGTGGGATATCTTGAAGAAGGACTTTTCAGATGAGGAGAGAGGTCTTTTCCTCAAGGTAGGTCTGCGTAGGTGCTCAACTACTGGTAAATGGTTTTTTGTAGTTTGTGACGAGTTGTTCTAAGCCTCCTTTGCTGGGATTTGCATATTTGGAACCGCCCTTCTGTATCCGATGTGTGCAATACATAAACGAAGATCAGGTCTGTTTTATTGTCCCATATTCTTTATACTCCTATTTGTTTAAGCAATCAAAAGGTGTGACAAATGTCGGTTTGTAGGATATGGGTGACACTTTAGGCTCGGTTTTGAAGGGATTCTTCGGCTTTGGCAGCCGTCGAGGTGGTGAGGAGCAAGCGCGTCTGCCTTCAGCATCAACTTGTTTCAACCTTCTTAAGCTACCCAACTATGCTTCACGTGCTACTCTTCGTGATAAACTGCGATACGCTATACACTGCAACGCTGGTTTTGAGCTCTCCTGAAGCTTAGGCACTGTAGCGGTCACGAGCTTCCCTTGCCTTCGTCTATTTGCCCACGTCAATGTATGTACAAAGTTTTGCTTTTTATTATCTCATTTTTTTTCTCTAGTGCCCGTGTTAATGTAGACTTGGTGCATGCAACAAATGTTTATTTTCCAACACCTTGTTCCATTTGTTTGAGTGGATGAATTACGCAGACCTGAGCGTTTCTGCTCAAAGTTTGGATTCGCCACCACGCAGGAGGGAAGATGTCGATGTAGGCAAGTGGAATGATTGCAGTGGCGAAAATCGAAGCAAAGAAACGGAAATGGGTTGAAGGAGGCGGTTTCCAAATGGCAGAAGAGACGCAAGCACACTTGCATCATTTATAGCCTCACAATCATTGCATTATCACTGTCCTCTTTGGCGCCATACACGCACGTGCTTTACAAGTTGTGAGAAGAGTTAGGCAGGTATGAAAAAAATGGCACAGTTCAACGCATTAAGATGTTCGCTAGCTATTGCCGTTCCCCCTTTTTTGTGCATATTGAGGATATTTTTATGATAAAACTGGATGTGTTACCACTGCTAGTGCAGTGAGGGCAGTATCCGATGGAGCAGAATTTTTAGACTTTGACTGTGATTGGTAGTTGGCTTGGTGAGTGGCGATTCCGTTTTTTTTCCATGAAATTGCTATATCATGCTCTCATCAGCTGTGCAGTGGCAATGTGTCCATTTCTTCTCAATTTAGGGATTCAAACATCGACAGAAAAATGTCTATTTTTGGTCTATCGAAGTCACAATTGGTTGATAATAGGTGTGTGAATGCCCACAGGCCAGACCACCCTGCAAACAATCATTACTTGCTAAATAGGTAACTGTGGTGGTGGTTAAGGAACAATAATTCTAGGTGCTCCCTCCATTTCCTAGCTTTTTATAAACTGATGCGGTTTGATGTCCAGCCTTTAGTGGTAACAAACAGCCCTCTGGCATGCATTGCACCATGGCTACGCAGATCGTCCTCAGCCTTTGCAATGCAATCGCAGTGAGAGACGTCGAAGTCACAAACGCCTTCATTGACGATGGATAGAAGCGACAGTTTGTCAAATGTCCTGTATATTTAATTAATCATAAATTCGCCAGTGTAAAGCACGCTCAGACATTACAAACTTTTGGTGGATGACCATATCCACCGTTTATTAGAGCCGGCCTGTGGGCCATATCAATTACTTTTAGTGCTTTCCGTATTTGATGTATATATGTATCCTACTCAAGCGCACTACTCCCTATAACCCCAAGATCGTCTTAAGATGGAAAGGGTGATGGAGTACCTTGCCTAAGTGACCATCCGATGTCTTAAAATTCATCTGCAACTTGTACTCGTGGGTTGGTCTACGGGCCAATCTCAGACCCAATTACTGCATTCTCCATGAAATGCGTGTAATCAGCTCCAATT